GCTCAGCATCCACTTGCTAGAATCATACGCACTTGGGCAGAGCAATCGGAAGGGCTTTGCTGGGAGTGCTAGTTCTGCTAGCTCTAGTGCTCATGTTGCTTTGAGCTCTGGAACCCTGAGAAAAACCAAGATCCCACTATAAAAGGTCTAAAACCACAACATTAAACAAGATTCCAAAGTGCTACTGACTTTTTGAAATTCATTTATAGTCATTATATTAACAAAGCCTTTATAGGTGAGAGATGGGTTTTGGTAAATTTAGCCTCAACGCAGCCCTTCCCTGACTTTCAGTCAATTCGTTTGCTCATTCATCCTGCATTTATTGTACATGTACAAGAGGACAAACCCTGTGTTAAGCAAAGAAAAATAAGTGAGGTGTAGTCCTTGTTCTCAAGAAACATAGTCACATTCATTGTGCAAACGTACAACTGAATTAATGCCACTCATATTTGACAAGATGGAGCATCAGAGAAAAAATCTTTTCTGTGATCTTAGTCAACATTCTGTATCTGGTGGACATGCTGTTCTTTATTCTACATTCAAACACCACCAATGCCTCTTTTACTTTTAACTTTATTTGGCAAAGCAGCACTGCATAAACTGTTCAGTAACTAAGACACAGCTTACACAGCATGTTCAATTCATACATTATCAGCAGCAAGTTAGAAACAAGAAATAAAACTAAGCTACAAGTCTAATATAATTTTAAAGAAAGGAGTGAAGAACTATGTCGGTTATGTCCAATCTGAACTGCTGAGCGTTAAGGAACATCACTTCCCACCTTAAATTTTAATATTTACAATTGCTTAGTTCTAAGGTACCAAAGCAGCTGATTGTATCTACAACATGCTATTCTATGACACCACATCAAAAGCTTTAAAAAGGGAGCTCATCTCTATTTTCTTAGTAGCATCTCACAGACATAAAAAAAAACCCAAAGAATTTTAACTTGTGAATGGTGGTGTTATCTGATACACAAACGCAGTCTGAAAAATTAATATTGGAACAGAATTAAGTGTCTAAGAAAAGAAAAACCACTCCTCCAAATCAATTAAAAAACTAACTTTCCCATTTTGCAGAACGCCTTTGCTTAATATTTTAAAGTAAAATGTATACTTTGCATCCTTTCTCTACCAATTTGTCTTTTGTGCCTCTTTGAAGAATTAGAAACCCTACAAAACCACACATTTTCATGCTGAAAAAAAGAGTGTAACAAAGTCCAAAACAAGCTGTGATGCTGTGGTTTTCAAAAGCTTTAACTGAGATGAGCAATCCACTGTAATATTATATACTGGTCAAGCTGATGTTGCTTTTACAGTTCGTCCCTGGGGGGGAGAAAAGAGAGAAATGTGTAAGTAGGAGTTACATACTACAAAATTTGACTTTCTAATAGTTCAGATACAACTATTAAATCAGTAAAACTACACTGATCCCCAAGCAATATATTTTTAAAATAAAAAGAGCAAATGGTCCCAAGTCAAAGCAAAAATGGAAATCAGCCATTTCAAACATCTCTCATGCAAATTAAGAATGAAGTATGAAACCTAAAGTGCCTGATTTCTTTTTAATTCTAAAGATAACCTTCTGCTTTCAAGACCAAAAATTTAGAGAAATTAGTTTTAGATCTAGGATCTTGCTAATACTATTGTAAAATGATGACGAGTATTTGAGTTCAAGTAAATTTTTACAGTTATAGTCACAGAATTGGACAAAAATTTAGCTTTTTGCTTAGAGTATGTTAGGAGTTGTTGAGTGGGTCAATATCAACCCAAACTTTTGTGGGGAAAAGCATCATCTGTAGGTATAATATACCTGTCAGCTGATTTCATAAGGCAGCTTTATCAGCTCCAAAAGAAACCATTCGCTCAGCCAGGTGT